TTAAAAATATAATATAATTTTCTTTTTAAAAGTGGACCAATTTTAAAAAGTATTCTTGAGAAATTAAGTTACGTTCAAAAGATTCACAATCGTCTTAAATGATCATCTTACTCAGCTCATTTGGTAGTGATTAAAATTAATTTTTAGCTGATTTTTATAAAAATTGATGAAACATATAGTTGAAAAGTTGTAGACCCATAAAATATGTGGTTAAAATTAATTGTTAACTTTGATTTAGATTAAAATCAAAGTTACAATCGGTACTAAACATGAGCGTAATAAATGTGAATTCCATTTTAATTTTTCATCAATTCCGAGTAATTCTCTAGATGTGTTACGTTTTTCTTACATAAAACTCCTTATATTTTTTATACTAATTCTCAACCATACATTCATACAATAAAATATTCTACATATAAATTCAAAAAAATTTCTACTTTTTAATCATACATTATTTCAAAGATCACTATTAAAAACATTATTTATCTAAAATTTTTCTTTATAATAACCATAAAACAAAAGCTTAAATGTTAGAATAATGCGCCTTGGACATGCTCAACAAGAGGGATGGACGGCGGAGTGATGTGTTTTTTTTTTTAAACTATCCAATCATGTGTCGACACGTATCCCCATTTTTTAACATGTCTTTGAGCCTATTTGTGTAGCACAATTGTAAATGCTAATGAAGCTAAAGGTTATGTTTGGTATTTGGGAGAGTTAAGAGTTGATGAAAGGAGGAAGTGAAAATTGAAGGGAAAAGTAAAAATATAATCAGGTAAAATGAAAAAAAGAAGTGGAAAATGGAATAGAGTGTACTGTTACGTACCAAGAGACCAGACCCACATAAGAAAATCTTCTATTCCCGAAACAATAAAGCTACTGTGACAGGGATGGCAGCCAGAGTTTGCTGACAATGCTGACGTGGCGAGCTGTGATTCGCCTGTTTTTTGTTAAAAAAAATCCATCTTTCAATGATTTGGAGACAAGTGTTGTTTGTCACCAAATCCTGTCAAAATTCAGTGTCACAGTAGCATAATTCTTCTCGAAATCTCATTTCTCGATCCATCAATTCACGGACATCAATGTCACCAAATCCTGTCAAAATTCCGTGTCACAGTAGCATAATTCTTCTCGAAATCTCATTTCTCGATCCATCAATTCACGGACATCAGGGAATTTTATGCTTATTCCATTTCAATTTTCCGAATTTAACCTCGTTACCCTTTATAAATTTACTATTTATGCATTTCCCCCCCTTTTTTAATGGTCACTCCGCTCCTTTGCTTCTTCTGCAGAGGAGGAGATCGTCAAAAGGGAACCCTGCGATTCCATTCTTCAATCTCGTAATATCAAATCAAACCACGTGACAAAAATATAATATTTTCTTTCAATTTATTATTTTAATCTGAAACCTGAGGTTTTGCTTATATTTTGTTGATATTCTTTTCCGTATTCTATTCGTTGCTTGAAATTTAATCAATTTTGCATCTCGAGAGCCCGTAATGTCGTTATCTTGATAATGGTTTTACCATTTTTTTGTGCTAAATTCACTTGGGAGTTTGTCCAATTCTGGTGATAGAAAAGTATGAGTCATTTTTTTTATGCGTATTATGTTGTTCAAGGAAAATAATATTTGCTTTCTATTGTATTATATGAGAGACCAGGTTCAATGTGTGTGGATTGGGATCCATGTCGGAACTTCTATTGTTTATGTTCTAACTGGAATACTAGATTTTTTAATTATATATTGTTTTACTTCAACCTTGGTTCTTGGTCTTATGTTTTGAGTCTACTATTTCTTTCTTGATCTTACACCTGTTGTCGTTTTTCATGAAGGGTTTACATTGGAAGGGATAACCACTTCAGCGTTGCCTAGCGCTTAGAGTTTTGGTTTCTTGACGTGGGGTTTCAGTTTTTTATGGGTTGAACCCAAGAAATCATGGATAGCTTAAGTGACGAGGATAAAGAGTTTCGATTCTTTGATGCACCGGAGCACATCGCATCAGTTTCCGAGTCTGATTCTGATAATGCTGGGGCTATTAATTGTGAATATGACTTGTGGATAGGGAGTCCTCGAAGTGTGAGGGAGCGTCGTAGGAAATTCATTAGATGGATGGAATTGAGCTTAGATAGGTTAGAAGGGAATAATTCCTTTGATGTACATGATAATGGTAGATGCGGCATGTTTAGAGGAGATATTGATAGAATACTGGAAAGTACTGAGACTGTTCTAAGAACTTCAATTTTTGAAGATGAATTTTCTTCTATCCATTCTTGTATACCTAGTTGGTCCACTGATATTTTGAATTTAGTAAGAGAAGTGACTCCTAGTGAAAATTTTACTTGTAGAAACGGGAATTTAAACGATAGACGCGAGTGTAATGTTGATGATTTGGTGGTGGATGGCAAGCAGAGAGCTGTTGCAATTGCAGGGTTGGACCAAGTGTTGATATCCAAAGAGTTTGAGAACATTACTCGACTGTCTCCTTCAGTTCAGCAACCTGGGGAGACAGAATTTGAGATTAATGGAAAAATTTCGAAAATAATGAATAAAGTAAAAGTTCGCTGGTTGAATAGATTTCGTTCCTTCATGTGCATAACAAGTGGGAATGGGAGAACTGATAATTCTAGATCCAATTGCTCCAGTCGATTTCGGGGGACCAAGGTTCAGAGAGTTAGGGTTCGCCGTAAACGGAAAATGTTGAAAGAACTCTCAGCACTCTTCACCGGACAAGATATGGAGGCCCATGAAGGGTCAATCCTTACTATGAAATTTAGTCTAGATGGACAATACCTGGCTAGTGCTGGTGAAGATAAGATCGTGCGAATTTGGCAAGTGGTGGAAGATGAGAGATCAAATGATATTGATATTCCGGATGTAGATCAATCTTGCATATACTTCTCAGTGAACCATCTTTCTGAATTGGCACCTCTCATGAAGGAAAAATATAAAACTAACAAACTGAAGAGTTTAAGGAAACCAAAAGATTCGGCATGTATCATCTTTCCTCCAAAGGTTTTCCAGATTTTGGAGAGGCCACTGCATGTGTTTGTAGGTCACAGTGGAGACATTGTGGATCTTTCTTGGTCGAATACTAATGTAGGTTTCCTATGTGCAAACAAGTAGGTTTTTCTTTTGAAATGGCCTGGACATGAATGATATTCTATATTACTCCATTTTCATGCAGTGTCTGCTTTCTTCATCAATTGATAAAACTGTTCGTTTGTGGCGGGTTGGATGTGAGCTGTGTCTCAAGGTCTTTCGACATAGTGATTATGGTGTGTAACCTGGTGTATATAGTTATGTGATAATATTTGGCTTGTGAAAAAACTTTAAATTTGGTTTTGACATACCGATTCCATTTGCTAAAAATAAATTTGATTGTATGCAGTGACCTGCATTCAGTTTAACCCCGTGAATGATGATTACTTCATCAGTGGTTCAATCGACGGAAAGGTTCGGATTTGGACAGTCAGTGGTTGTCAAGTTGTCAACTGGACTGAAATAAGAGACATAGTTACTGCTGTTTCCTATAGGCCTGATGGGCAGGTCTGTTGATTGTTAATCCGTTTACAGATAATGGTACAGTATCAGATAGGATTGAAGTCGACAATGGATAAGATTTTGAGTTCTCTATTTCTTTTTTCGTCTTTAATAATGTCTAGTATCTCCAATCCTCTTTATCGAACAAGCAAACAATATTTTATTGGAATCGTGGCTTCAAAAATATAAGATGTACTAATGGAATAATTCTCTCTTTCTGTTGTTTAGGGTGGTATTATTGGCTCTATTACAGGCATGTGTCATTTTTTTAAAATATCAGGTAATTTGTAGAGATTTCTGGATTATTTTCTCTCTTTTCTTAAAATAGTGATCAACTGCTCTTATGATGCCATATAACTTCACATCTTATTTATCCCGACGTAATATTTCTTTAGTTTTGATTTTGCGTGTGAAGTCCAGATGACTCTCTTACTATTATGCCATAATTTATCATTGAAACTGAAATTCACTTGTAGGGACTACACATTGATTACTGCCCTTTTCTTTTCTCTTTTATAAGATAATAATTATCACTTCCAACTGGAAGGGCAGATGTGCTTAACCAGTAAAAAGAAATCAGCCTGCAAAAGGATAACTGGATTCCAGGTTATCATGCTATCACCCTTCTTTTTAATTAGAAGATGAAAGTATAGAGAGAGCAAGATTGCTTGAAGAAATAAAACCTTTATTTCGATTCTAATCTGATGCTCCACAAATGCAGTTTATCCCGCAGGACTGGAGCAAAGTGTTGGTCACATCTGCTGATTCACAAATTAGAATTCTTAGTGGGATGAATGTGATTGGAAGATACAAAGGTATGCAACTAGTGCTTTTCTCGGCGGTGGATTTCCTCGACGAATATTATGATTTGGGCTCTTGTTGAATATTTTATTAGTCCTCCCTTACCTTTCCAATTTTTCTAGATTAATACCCTCACTCTTTCTATATATGCCTAGGCGGTGCTGGGAATCACATTTCTGCTTCATTGACCTCAAATGGAAAGCACGTTATCTCAGTGTCTGATGATTCTAATGTTTACATATGGAACTACAATTGTGAACCATGTTCTGCCTCGCAACCCGTTAGATCATTCGAATGTTTCTCGTCTGATGCTTCTGTGGCAATACCTTGGTCTGGCTTAAAGATGGGGAACTTGGAGGATGGATTCAAATCGAGCAAATTCGAGGAGAGTTTAACTAAGTTATCGACTCATTTCTCTTTGGGCCAAGAGTTTATTTTGGACTCCAGCCCCAAGGGATCTGCAACTTGGCCTGAGGAAAAGCTACCCATGTCTAGTCCCCGGACTGTTCTGTATCGAATGTGTAAATATCAATACAAACTTTTCAAGACTTCTTGCCAGAGTTCATCCACTTCGCATGCGTGGGGTCTAGTTATTGTTACCGCAGGATGGGATGGACGGATTAGATCATTCCACAATTATGGTTTACCAACACCCTATTAACACGAGGCTGCAGGATCATTGAGATATTGGATATGATCGATTTTAATGGTCACCTATTTAAGTGATCCGTCAATTTGGCTCATTGCACATAAAGTTGATTTTGGAAGTACTAAAGTTGTTCACCCGAGCCAAACCATCCACATTGCTGTATCACTGTCGAGGACTAATCATTCGGTGGGTGTTTCCCAGTTTTGCAGATCCACAAGTTTGTGATCAAGCAGCTAATTAAAAACTAAGGTACACTATTTGCAATTGGTTACTTGGTTTAATTCAACGATTTTTCAATTTGTTTATTCACTAAGTCTGTATCTGTTGGCCCAGAAATGAAAGTCATTCACGCGCGAAGAGAAGAGATGCACGGAAGTTCCCTCAGATCCTCGTAATAACATCTTTCACTTGGTCATCAGTCATCACAGTGGAACCGAGGAGTTCCAGGCAAGTGGTCTAAATTTATATGAGAAAATGGCGAGGAACGTTGTATAGTAGTATGTTGGCTGGTCTGAATAATTTTGTGTCCTTTGCAGCATGTTTGGCTACGCTTGAAAGTTTATTTATAGAGTTACAAAATAATTTATTTTTATTGTTCAGTTAAAAGTAAATTACTTATATAGACATTAAAATGAATAACTCTTCGCGTAGAAGTAAGTAAAATGATTTTATTCAGACTTGTGTCGAAACAAAAACAAACTTGAAAAGTAGTTGAGCTTAGCCACACATGCTCACCCTTCCTCGTGTCATTTTCTTGTCGAAACCCTACAGCGTGAAGCATCGTAGGCCTGCCCCAGGAGAGCATGGCATAGGCACAGGGTTTAGTAGCCATGATTTGATACATCAGTAGATTCCATGGGCATTTTCTCGTTCTTCTAATATTGCGCTAATTCGTGCCATGGTTAGGCAGTTTAACCTTACAGAAGTCGGTGATTTTTGGTAACATTGGGTATGGAACAAGATTATGTGTAAAGAATACGTGGAAGAATCTGTTGCCTTTGGTTTAAATAAATTTAGTCCATCGATCAAATTCGTTTTAATTTCCAAACCAATAGAAAATCAATAAAATTCGATCACTTAATAAAATCCATTAAATAGTTCGATACATAAAAATCTCTATTTTTGCCTGTGCGTTATGAAGAAAAAGGATTAACAGTCAGAGAGGGCAATTCAAACCAGAATCCCATAATCATCGTGGTAACGCCGTTTCATCACGAAAAAAAAAAAAGTTCCATTCCTTGATCATGCACACGATCAAATTAAAATATCCTAATATAAAACGAATTACAACAAAAATCGATAACCAAATCAATTCATTCAATAGTGAAAAAAGAAAACAGTAATACAAATGAGTACAGTAAACATTTTACCAATCACCGATGGGTGATATGGTCAGACAGGGAGGGTATCGACGGAAGGAGGAATAGCATTATTGTTGGTGGAGGTGGAGGTGGAGGTGGAGGTGGAGGTGGAATTGACGGAATTTAGGGTGGTGAGCATCATAGGACGGTCATTAGCCTCTTCATCGTCATCATCGGAGTCGTAGGTGGTCAGATTGACGCATGAGCACCTTTCCAGCGACGCAAAAAACGCCGCCGCAACACTAGTTCCAAACCAACGCGCAAGCCCGTCCGCAGCGCCGGAATTCTCCATTGATTTCTTTTTGTCTGTCAATTCAAAATTTACCAGAGAGGTAGTTTGGGGTTTGAAGGGAGAAATTGGGGGAGCGAGGGATTCGAGGAGAAATTGCCAAAATTAGTCTCAACCTTTACATTTTTCAGAATATTATATCCTAGGTCCCAAATATACTGTGTGTTCTATTTTGGTTCTTAAAATTTTTTCTTTCAAATTAGTCCCCATTTGTCTATGGTTAAAGTAGGAAAATGAGTTTTTGGAAAATGTGTATTGAATTTATATGCAAAATATTTTATGGTGATGTTTTCATGAGTTCGACTTAATAGAAAGTAAATTTTTTATCAACTACAACAAATTCATATAGAATATGTTTACTATTTAGTATTGAATATTATAGTAAATAAAATCTTAGCCCCGTTTGTTTCTCATTTTTCATCCACAAAAATGAAAAATATGACCGTTATTCATCACATCAAGCCATCAATTTTGAATTTCTATCTCTTGTGTGGAGTCTAATAACGACTATATTTTTCGTTCCCATTCTACAATAATGTGAATCAAACGGCTCTAATCTTTTTTTTTTTTCCCTATAGTGTGTTCAATCATGTAATATTCACGTTATCTAAGAAACCATTAGTTTAAAATTGTTCAGATTCATTACTAATATTTGAATATAAAAATGGAAAAGACTTGCTAAGCAAGGAAAAAAGTTAAAAAAATTAAATTTATTTCATAATTATTCCTTAGCACATAACACACTCAATTAACTTTCCTCCAAGAAACTCCCAAATGCAAAGAAAAGTATCTCCCATTAACACTCTTCTTTAACCATGGCTACTTCTGCCCACTCATCACTCAACAGTTTCCTTCCAAATACAGCATTAGCAATGGAGAAATTTCTTACCTTCATGTTTTCTCTTTTGCTCTCAATCTACGTCCGAGGTATGAATCCGGTATACCATAATGGATATAATTTGATACTATTATTTAATCTATGGAGAATAAGACTTAGTTTGAACATCGTTTGTTATTACAGGTGCATATGGATCAATTGGGGTGAACTACGGGACGCTAGCCGACAACCTTCCGGCCCCCGAACATGTTGCACATTTCCTACTAGAATCCACCATTATCAACCGTGTGAGGCTTTTTGACGCCAACCCTGAAATGTTAAAGGCATTTGCACACACTGGAATTGCCATAACTGTTACTGCGCCTAATGATCAAATCCCACATTTTACAAAGCTAAGTTTTGCACAACAATGGGTGAAAGCCTACATTGTACCACATGTCCCTGCAACCAATATAGTCCGAATACTGGTAGGTAATGAAGTACTATCCACTGCCAACAAGTTGTTCATAGCAAATCTTGTTCCAGCAATGCAGATGCTCCATACAGCCCTCATTGGAGAGTCGATGGATCGAAGGATACAAATTTCTACGCCGCATTCACTGGGTATATTGGCCAACTCGAGCCCTCCCTCGACCGGGAAGTTTAGGGAAGGTTATGATTCTCATGTACTCAAGCCATTGCTTAGCTTCCTTAAGGCCACAAATTCACCTTTCACGGTTAACCCCTATCCGTTTTTCGGGTCATCGGCTGATATTCTTGATTATGCACTTTTTAGGCCTAATGCAGGGGTGCTTGATGAAAACACAAAACTTACCTATGCAAACATGCTAGATGCACAGTTGGATGCAGTTTTCTCTGCAATGGAACTCCTAGGTTTTACTGATGTTGACATTGTCATAGCTGAGACCGGATGGCCTTCGAAAGGGGACACAGGGCAAGCTGGGGTCGATGCTGAAAGTGCAGCTGAATACAACAGAAAAGTTGTGCAGCATGTAACATCCGGAATCGGGACACCACTCATGCCTAACAGAACGTTTGAAACGTACATTTTCGCGCTCTTTAACGAGGATCTAAAGCCAGGGCCAACGTGTGAAAGAAATTTTGGATTATTCCAGCCTGATTTGACACCGGTGTACAACATAGGGATCTTACGGCCAACGGTAGCTGCCGCTGCCAAGAATCAGCATACTGCATGTTTATTGATACTTTTGTACATTTGCTACATATTTGGTACACAATATTATATCGTACTTTAAAATTTTCTTATTTAATACCATCCAATATTGTCTAATCTATCATACCATTGACTCTAGCAGGCTAAATCTTATTTTCCGTCGTACCCGACTCCGGCGGTGAAACCTATGCCAGAACCAAAGGGAAACACATGGTGTGTTCCCAAATCAGGGGCAAATGAAGAGACATTGCAGAGAAATATTGATTACGTGTGTGGATTGGATATGGAATATTGCAAACCTATACAAGAAAGTGGTGCATGCTTTTATCCTAATACGGTTCGAGCTCATGCTGCCTATGCCATGAATGCATATTATCGAGCCTCGATGAAAAATGACTTCGATTGTGACTTCAGACAAACTGGAGCTATCACCAACAAAGATCCGAGTACGTTGATGAGTATATGTATGTGTATATACAGGTGTCAAAATGTGCTGGCCGCCCTGCACATAAAAGGTCCAGCCTAGCCCCAGTCGCACCGTGGATGGCCTTGCCCATGGCATATTCTGGGCCAACGGCTACATTTAGGCTGTGTTGGACTCGATCGTAGGGGCTAGTATGCCGTCGTGTAAAAAGAAAAATTTTAAAAGCCCAAGGCCTGGCACAATTTGTGTTGGGCCGAAAATTTTGTAGGCGTGCCATGCTGGACACATGTATATATTTGTGTATGCTAGAACATGGTTATTTAAGTTTCTTATATTTTTCTGCTTCTCATTTTTCAGGCTATGGTAATTGCAAATACTGACAGAAGATTGAGCAAAGAAGTCTTGAAGAATAGAAGATTTTTTATGCTAGTTTAACATGAGGAAATTTTGTTGTTTTGGGATTTCTCAAAAGGGATTTGAACTCTGCAGTTAAAAAAAAGGAATACATTTAGCAGAAATTAATGTTTTATGAATTGTATTATTCTTTAACTAGGAATCTTTTAATTGAGGATGCAGCTTGTTCTTTTATACTAGCTTACTTTCAAATATGAAATGTCATTGAATTGTCGCAGAATGGATACTTTTTGTATGTAATTGTGGAGTTGCATTTAGGTACTTCTATGGTCTTTTTCATCCTTCCTGATGATATCCCTTTGGTTCTCCACGTCTCCCTCTTACCATTCACTTGTTCTTATGCGGTCAAAAAATGAATATTTTAGCTCAGATATTTTGAATATAGGCAGAAAAAATAGGAATTATGCATTCTTAGTTCCAAACCTTCCTTGTGAAATTTTCTCACTTCTGTTACTGTTGGGAGGACGATGAAGGTCAAACACCGTTGCATTATGCTGTTGTTTGTGAGAGAG